ATATACACCTATATACACATATATTATATATGTATAATGTATGTATATATATTATATATATAATATACATATATACATGGGTATAATACATACATATATGTATGTATTTTATAATATATATATATATATATACATGTATGTGTACATATATATATATATGTGTATTTTATAATATATATATACATGTATATACATGTATGTGTACATATATATATATATATATATATATATATACACACATATGTTTATATTATTTATAATATACATATATACATGTATATACACATACATGTCACATATATTATAAAATAAATATGTACACATACATAATACATGTATTTATACATATATACATATACATAGATTTTTTTTTTTTTGTTAAATCTAGTCCTAGTCCAAGCGTACACCAAACGCAGGATAAGTGTTATCCAACTTAGACTAAGCCAAGCCAAGCCAAGACAGTCCCTAAGCATAGTCCATGCCAAGACAGTCATGTGTACCAAACGAGCCCCTATAGTCTAATTCATTCAAGTACGAAATCAAATAACTTAGTTTTAAAGTTACAAACGAACATGAAAAATACATAATATTAAGAAAAGAGGCCTAGTAATCTTCAACCCAAATATGATTACCATACATGTACACTATATATTATGAAAAATACATGCATATACACTATATATTGTCTAAAACCCTATTACCATATCAAGGACATGGTATGTTCTGTTGTGAGAGATGTCTAATGAGATAGGTTAATTGACAATATATCTGGAAAAACAAAAACAAAACAAAAAAACCAAAAACCAAAAAACAAAGAGTATACAAAGCTGTAATTTATTAATGCGAGCGAGCTACCTGTAACTTGAGACCATTTGTGATGTCTTTATATGAACCCAAAAGTAATTTTCGTATACGACGGAACACAAATGAGTGCACAAGATCATGCATCTGTCTGTGTTTATAATGTAACCATGCATTTTCTATAATGTAATCATGCATCTGGCTTTCTTCTTTACCTCAAAAAATTTGAAGCTATGATCAACGAATGTACATTGTCTATTATGTGCGTCAGAACCTGGCAATGATGACAAAGCAAATGAGCAATTGACTTCATGCCAATCACAGCTTTGTATTTATTTATTGTTTTCAAAATTCTAATAACCTGTCACAAATTCCTGCTGCATTAACACATGTCACCAGTTTTACAAGTCAATAGGCCACCAGTATATTAGTATTTATAAAATAAAATAATTATAAATGTCATATCGGTACGGATTTCCATCGAGTTAGAAATATTATTACCTGTTAATCAAACCAAACATTTTAGTATGGATCGGATTTGAATAATTAAAATTAAAAATTAATTATTTAACTAAACCAAACCAACTCGTCAATACGGTAATTCGGATGAGAAGCCCACGCCAACTGGCAAATACACGTTCTTTCATTGAAAAGAAAATCAATGCGTATTCACCCCTACAGTGTTCATCACGTGTTGCCTCATCGTAGTTTTCCATTTTTCCAGTTGACATATTTATGGGATTGTTCTCAACTACAAGAATTAAAAATGCAATTGGGCATTTTGTCCATCTGTTTTGTTAAGGGATGATCAGTAACTATAGTACCTGGCCTACATTATTCAAAAAGAACCACAAACAAAAATAAAAAATCGTTGGCCGAACACTGCAGTGAATAACAAAATAAGAAATTAAGGTCAAGGTCAAAGTTCATAGCTGTGCACAAGACACTCATTCCTACTAACTTATATATTTTCATTAAAAAGTACACAAGACACAAATAATCATGCTTTACAACTTCTTGATGAATTTTTGTTCATAACCCCTTTGCAGCAAGCTGCTTCTTGAGGCTGAGGACCTCGACTCCTTTTGTCGCTAACTGCTCCTTTAGGTTTTTTGAAGCCTCCTCAAACTTCTTGTTCATGTGATCGGACTCATCCCGTGTTTCTTTATATCTACTTCGAAAGGCATCTAACTTTGCTTGTGCCCCTCGAAGCCTCATTCGAAGCTTTGCCTTCTCTATGCCGTTTTCAACTTGATCCTGTTTGAAGTATACCAAGCCAAATTAAAGACTAAACAAAAGAGAGATAATATTACTTGGGATGGTCTTTGTTTTTTTTTTTCCCCTCATTCGTTTCTGAAAGGAAACAACTACTTGGGACAGTTCTAAATTTGTGAATTCTGACAACTCCAGATGAAAAGTTTTTTACTTCCTTTTTTTATCTTCTGTGGCAGAAATTTTGACCCCGTTTATAGAGCGTGGATCTTATTATCCAAACTGCTATTTAACCAAAACCTATCAAACCCAATTGTTGAAGCTGCAGCTGCACATCTATTGGTCATGCCCAGAAAGATGAAAACTACGTTGCACAACAAATGAAATTATACAAGCACTTACTTTGTGAATCTTAAGCTCCGTGCTTGAAATTCTCCTTGTCAGTTCCTCCACTTGAAACTTTGCCTCCATTAACTGGTAGTAAGTTCATCAATATTTGAAATGACTCAAACAATTTAGGTGCCAATGAGAAAACAAGGACTTTTCAGTGACCTACCAAGTCATTGTAACGTTTATCGAGACTTTCTTCTTCAATTGCATGTTTCTGCTGCTCTTCGATCTG